GAAACCCCAGCATAGCTATTAAACTCATTGTCCTTTATTTCTAATTTTTTGGTCCAATACATGCACAAATTTCCAGCCACTGCTCTTGCCTGACCTTCACTGCGTGACCGTGCTCAGAGCAGGCTGTGCCACGCCGTGCTGCCAGGTGCCTCCCAACCTCCCCAGCTGCACAAGAGCTCATTTACTTGCCCTTTAAAAAAAAATCTGCTGCTAGACCTTTCTCCTTCTAATTACCCAAACCTTTGTTTCCTTCCCGCTGCCTGATAAGTGCTATTTATACCCACAGCTGCTGAGGTATCTTCTTCCCAAGAGCAGGTGAAGAAGATTCCTATCACAGCACATGCTCTAAAAATCCTGATCGGTTTTCTAAAGCCCTTTGATGGCTACCTGTCTTTTGCCTTGCAGAAACTGCCTCTCTGTGTTTTGGTGGCATGCATGAAATGAGAGGAATGTCCCTGGGAGGGGGACAAAGCATTGAAGAATAAAGGAAAGCACCGGGCAGTAGAGTTAAACTGACTGCACAGCTGAGACCTTCCTCTCACACAGAAGCTCCAGCTTTGTTGAGGAACCAGCCAACTGTCCTCCTTTTCCATCTGGGATTAGTTTTCTGATCGTCTCCTTGAAGAACCTCACACTGCTGGCACAGGAGAAAAAAAGGCAGCAGCAAGGGGAGAAGGTGGGAGAAGAAATTCCCCTTCCAGCAGCCACCACCTCATACACCGCCTCTAGGCCCAGCTGCTGGGCTGGCTCTCTGGAAGCATGCCTGTGTTTGGAGATCTCTGTCCCTAAACAGTTAATCTGATGGAGCTATAAAACTGCCCACAATAAAATATGGCATGGTCATACAGGAGGTTGGTTGTTTCTGGTCTTATAACCTGGGCTGGAGACCTCATGCCATGCTGCAAACCTCCCACTAACCTGTTCCACACTGCTACATCCCGGGGGACTATAACCTCTGTTGCAAGCCTGGAGTCAGATTTTCAGCTTCTTCCCTATGAGCTCAGCCATTCGCTTGTCCTACCGCAAGCAGAAATCATGCCTTCAGTTGAGCACGTTTGGTTACCTTTAGAGTTGGTCAGTCTTCAAAGCTGTGGTTCAGACTGAGTGCTGTGTTCAAACTGACCCTCTCATTAGCAATTTCACTGCAATTATTTTGAACTTTTTACATTTATCCTAGAACAACAGAGCCTTTAGGCTCAGCTGCATGACCAATGATTAAAATTAAAAGTCCATCCCACACGAATTAAGCACAATGGCATTGAACAGGCTAAGAAAGGAATGCAAGCCTCATGCCCTGTAGCTGGAAGGCTGGCTTTTGCCATGTGGAAAGTTGTGGACTGAAGGGCAGAGGCTCTGGTAAGAGTACTGAACCCACCCACCAGCAACAAGCCAGGCAACACAACTGTTAGGGACATGAGTCCAAGAGAGCCACTCAGGACTCAACCTTCAAAATCTGTGCAACTGTACAAGTGTACTACGGCGTGAGGTACAGAAAACAATTTCCAGTCCTTAAAAGTTTTGCAATCGCTCCTTGTGCTGAAGAAGGACCAACCAAACTGCAGCTCATCTGGAGAGAGGTCAGTAAGCTGCCCCCCAAGCAAATTGCCAATCTGATTTTGCTCTCTGCTGGCTTCAGCTTTATCAGCTTCATTCCAAGCACCAATGTGCTACAGCAATTAGTTTTAATTCGAGTGCTGGCACCCTGTGCTCAGGTTCAATGTCCTGGCATCTCATGTGAGACTGACAAGATGTATCACAGCCCGGGGAGCTATCTCAGTAACACTGCACTGCCAAATAGTTGGAAGGGGTGTTGATGCTAAGGAGGTGCTCTGAGTTATTTGCACCAGGGGCAGCTTGGTGGACCCACAGATCCATAACGTACATGGGGGCAACCCCCAAAATAATAATAGTAAAATAATAAAGTGCAGAATAGGCAACAGCACATCACATGAGAACAAAAGAAGACTCCCCTGCAATGTTCCCTGAAGGACAACCATAAAGAGAGGCGATAACACTGTATAAAAAACATACCGGCAAGGTTATCCAAGGAGGGCAAAGGGGAGGAAGTCAAAATAGAGCTACATGAACAAAATTCCTGCAAGAAATTAAGCAAAAGGCCTTCAGACTGAGAAGAGCCATCCAGAGGAGACTGATCCCTGGAGGGGAGCTGAAATGGCCCAATAAAAAGTTCAAACAAACTGCGGTATGTATGGGGCTGAGGGTAGTAATGCATGTTTTGTGCCAGCACCTCTGCCAGGACACGTTGATCAAGGTTTTTCCGTGCCGTGCCAAGCCAGGACGTCAGCCCACGTGCATCACCGACTGGTGCCAATGAGGCAGCCGCAGGGAGAGCCGTACGTAGGCAAGCACTCGCGTGTGCATCCATGACAGGGAGATATCTGTGTAACTCCAGGCATTATCAGCACCTAATAACCTCTACTTGCAAAAGTTGCTCTGATTTTGGGCCTCTCTCCCTTGGAAAACCGAACCTACCACACACAAAAATGTCTTCAGGAGCCAGCTGGCAAAAAGCAGCCCAGGACCCGTTGCCTCCCTGGGTGCCGTGTCAGGAACAGCTCGTAATTCACAGATAGCTGCACACACAGGCGTGTTTGCTGTGGAGTGACCCCGGCTCTGCTGGTGGGAGCTGCCCTGGTGGGGCAGCAGGAGCAGAGCACCGAGCCCCCCGGCCGTGCCCAGCAGCCTCAGGCTGTGCCTGGCCAAGGGAACTCTCCTTCCCCTGCCTGCATACCCAAAATCCCGTCTGCCCCTGTCCTTTCCAGAAAAGATTTGCATATTGGGTCAGGCCAGCATTTCCAGCAGCTTGATTTCCAGGGGATAATGTTATTCATGAAGCTATTTGGGACTGCAGTACCCAAATCCTTGGTTGCTGTTTGTTTGCTTCTTTCTCCCCCCCTCTTCCTTGCTATTTACTCCCCTTGGCTGTTTGTCTGTTTGGAAAAAAAAAATAAAAAAATCCCTTGGCTGTGCTTTTGGTAGGACGTTTCAAAGTCAGGCTGAGATCAGTATTAAATGAGGATAGATGCCAGGTTCCTTTTCTCTACACAAAAAAAAAAAAAAAAAAGCAAACCTACTAGAATAGCACCGAAAGCTGTAAATTAGGTCATCTTTGCACAAGAGCTTCCTGAGCCTTTGCTCAGAGCAGTGCTGCACAAGCATTTGGTGACGATTCCTTTAAACTTATCTGGCACAGTTTGTCTTGGGGGACTCATGTAACGCAGTGAGGGGGCTCCCAGGGCTGCCCCTCCTCTATATAGGGGCAGGGTCTGGGACCCAGACCTGCTCTGCTGAGGATGTAAGGCCAGGGGGAGGCACGGCCAAGAGAGGACAGCCAAAGGACATCAGCAGCACGAGCGTGGGGCAGGCTCCCAGCCCACAGAGCAAAGAGGCTGTGCACTGGGAAGATGGGCAGCAGTGGCAGCATCTCTTGGGTAAGCAGCAAAAGGCAGAGCAGCAACGCTGAGGATGGAGACTGCCTGCAGGAGCTTCCCATCAAGACCAGTGTGGCTTCCAGCACGCCACTGCAGAGGCTCAAAGAGGCCTTTTCAGATACAGCCGGTGAAACAAGAGCATTGCTGGTGCCGAGATGATGCATCCCGCGCCTCCAGGCACAAGGACAGGCAGCGGGCTGCGTGTACTCTCTTGCCGGCTAAGCCACTGCCACCTTGGCACAGCATTCGCAAGGTGAAGCCAGATCCTTGCTCCCTGAAACGGAAGATTAGCTCCCTGGTTTTGGAAAGCTGCAAGTGGGGACGTTTTGTGGCCAGAGTGAGAGGCTCCTGGAAGAGGCCTGATGGTCTGGGATGACTTTGTTGACCTTGCAGAGCTCTTGCTGGTGCAGCGCGGAGGTGCTGTGAGCTCTCCCTGTGGAGCTGCTTCCAGAAGGCATTTCATAACCCAGGCTGCATCGTCCTGGCCCAGGCTCCTGCCTCCAGCAGCGATCAGCAGTGAATGCCCAGGGAAGATCAGAGCAAAAGCACGTGCTCCTTCCTCCCCAGCACACCCACCCAGCCTCCACCGACCCATAGCTCAGGGCCGCCCTGGTTCAGGGGTGACATCTGTGTGTTTAATAGCCCCGGGCATACTTTCCCTCAGTGAGTTTGTCTAATTGCTCCTTGAATCCGTGTAACCTTGGGGCAGTGCGTTCCACCCTCTAAATACACGTTTGGTGAGCACACAGCCTGTCTCATGACTGCTCGCAGCCAGCCTCCTCTGAGGCCTTTGCCCTTTGGGAGGCTGTGACACCTCCAGACTCATCTTCTGGGTGATTTTGTGCTCTTCTGTGCTGAGAGGGACACTGTGCAGGTTTCTGAAAACAACCCCATCACCATGCTTCAGCCCTAGGAGATCTGCTCCAGCCCCTCCTCTGGCTGCAGGGCTGCCCCAGAAGGTGGCTGCTGGGCTCAGGTCATGCTGAGAGAGCTGAGAGCTACAAGGGGGATCCTCAGGATGCAGGGTGCTGGGATTTAGGAGCCTGTCATCAGCGATGAGCCCAGACCCTGCCCTCTTTCCCCGAGGCAGGACTGGCTCCTGGGCCAAGAACAGGTAAGCTGGGAGGAGAGAAGGAGCAAAGAACACATTCAAGTCCTCAGCCATTAATGGAAATACAGGAACATGAGAAAAGTAATTAGTGACTTGGCATCACGCTTGGGAAAGCCAGAGAAGCACGTCAGAGAGGGGAGGAGAAAGGGGTGAGGGGATAAGGTGGAGAGCAGAGATCAGAACAGGCAAAAACACAAAGCACAGCACAGGGCCAGGCTGGTGTCCCCTGAAGGACAAAGGTCCCCTGGGCGGGCTGCTCCACCGTGCCTCTCCTGGTGGCTCCAGGCACCTGCAGAGCCTCCGGGGAGCTAGGTGACAAAGCCTGAGGTGTAAAAGGCTTCCTCAAGGTTGCAAAATCCTTACTGAACTCAACTCTACCCCATATGCTGCTGCTGTGATGTCCATGGAGGTGCCACAAATGGGACAGCAAGGGAGGGACCCATGAGAGAAATCTCATTGTTGTTTGTATTACATGTGTAAGCGAATAAATCAATAACAATGAGCTACAAAAACCTTCTCATTACCCCAGCATTTGCAGGAGACGTGGTGGAGGTCCACACATGCATGCTACAGGCTGGCAGGAGGAGGTCTCAGCCAGTAGAGTGCCTCCAGCTGAGATTCCCAGCGAGCAGACCATCCAAAACTGCAGGAAAGTGGCCACTTTCTCTACCTCGACCAGCAACAGCCTTTGGTTTGCCTAAGCAGCAGGAGAAAACTGCAGCTGAGCTCTTGGAGGCCGCCTGTTCCGCTGCAAATTGGGATGGAGCCTGCAGTCGGGGAGGAGAGAAGGCTGGGACCTCGGGGCCCTCTGTTTGTTTGCGAGACGCTGTCCTGTTTGGATAGGGTCGGGGCAGGATGTGCTCTGTAGTAAACACAGGAAAAGGGCTGAAGCTGGAGCCGAGTGGAGGGCTGGCAGTCGTTTCAAGCTTTAATTGAGGTGGCCCCTCATGGGGTAGCGCGTGGTCCTCTCAGTGTTGGCTGACAAAGGCTGCAGGCTGCCGAGGGCTCCCTCTTCAGGGTGCTGTGGTGGTTCCTTGGTGGTTGGAGTTTCCTTTCTAGAAGTGGTCGAAGGTATTTCGGGCCAAAAGTGACTGCAAATACAGCTGGGAAAGTATATGCATGGATTTAAACACTGAAACATCTCGATTATTTCCTTCAACCTCAAAATCAAGCATGCATTTTAGCTGGAAACAAAACTAAGGTTTGCAGCGCCAGTTGTGCACCAGCCCTTGAAGTTGCAAGTGCTGCTTCTTGGCCAGGGAATAAGAGGGAAATTAAACTCCAGGTTACTGTCTCTGGCTCTGTAATTTCAAAATTCCCATGCTCAAAATGTCTGAAAGCCTATACATGTATTTACCATATAGCACTGCCCCCTGCTGTGGCTTCACAATCCCCACACACTTCATTCATAACAAACCCTCCCGGTAGGAACCATCTGCCAGACACCAGCAATTTCACAAAATCCTGGGCTCCTCACTGTGTATTTGTCTGCTCAATGTCCCCCAGGTCTCCCACAGCTCACAGGCTTCCTCAAAACGTGAGGAAGAAGAAAAGACAAGGGAACAGAAAAGGATGAAGGAGGGAGAAGGAATTCAGTCAGCGTATCTCTTTACCTAAAGGAAATCCCTGGGTGATATCCGGAGACCCGGGGCACCGAGCCTGCAGCAGCTGCAGCCCAGCCTTTGACTCCAGGGCTTACAGCCTGGGGGGCAGGCAGTGCGAGCGATGCAGCAGGTGGGGATGGGGGGACCAGCGGGGAGCAATCGCTGATGCTCCTGGGGCAAGCCCAAGTGAAGGGCTTGAGTGGTTTTAGTGCTGATGGAGGAAATACACGTCTCTGAAGCATCACTGATCTGAGCACGAGTAAGTCTCATCAGCTCAAATCCTCAGCCGCGCTGCCTGGGGAGCGATGCTCCTGCACGGCAGGGGAAGACGCACTGCAGGGAAGCACAGGTTGCTCACTGGGAGCAGCACTGTAGGAGCTGGGCCCATCTAAGTGCTACCACTAATGCTCTCACAAAATTTTCCCTACCACTCAGGACATAAAACTGCTCTCCGGTGACATTATATATTTGTAGCAACTCTTGCACAATTCTCTAGCTTGCTGGGGTCGAGCGAGTTCTCTTGGCACAGCATGATTTGTAGCAAGATTCTCTTCCCAGCATTGCCAGGGCTGATGTTGAAAGTCCTTCCTGCAATTTAGCCACGCTCAGGGTAAGTCTGGTAACTCCAAGCCTAATTTCTGGTAACTCAATCTGTCGTTGTGCGACTGGCGTGCCTGCAGCTGTGCTGCCAGACCGGCTGGGTTTTACGGTGGATAATGGATTTCAAAGGTGCCCTCGTGTCCCACGGAGGTGATTCTGTTCTTCTCGTTTCTGGTATGTGACCACAGTAGCTAAAGGCCCAGGCTTTCACCTGCTGAAGTCCATCACAACCTTGCCCTTGACTTGAGAAGAAGCTGGTATCTGCTTTCAGCTAAAGAAGGGAAAGAAAAGATAAAAGAATGAAACAAATGCACACAGAGCATACCAGAGTCCTGCTAGCATCCAAGCTGCAGGAGGAAGAGATGCACTTTTTGTAAACAAAGAACAGAAAGAGGACGGGAAGCTTGGGGAAGTGCATACATCCTAGATTAAAGGAGATTAGCATGCATTTACTCCAAATAAACCATGAAATATCTTGGCAAATGTCTACTCTGCAGTAGATTGTCAAGGTTTACATGGTAGACTGTAAAGTGACTAGTCAGATAATACCTTGATTGGCAGATAAGAAGAGGTGACTGTTGGAGTGCGATTCACAAAATGAAGCCCCAGGGCACTGCTACCTACAAACTGCAATTCCACCCACACCACCAAGGAACGGCTGGAAGGGAAGGAAAGACAGGGGAGGGCTTCTCACACGGCTGTGATTGGCACCGTGGGGAAGCAGAGGCTGGGATGGCTCTCAGAGGGGTCTTTTTAGCCAGGAAGAATGCTTTTTTGGTTGAAAAAAACATATTTTTATTTTTTTTGGTTTTTCATTCTGGAGAAAAACCTTGGTATTGATGAACCTCCAAAGGCCACGGGAGCCATCATAGCATTCCCTGTTGGTTTGGGAGACACAAAGTGTGATTCTGCTCCTGGCTTCTTACTCACTGTGTCAGCAGCTCCCAGCAAATGATGGAACATTTCTCTTTAGAGTGATGTCTGTGGCTGAGCCAGGATCAGAAATAACAGGTACTGAGGAACATCTCTGCTGGCCTGGAAAAGTCAGGGAGGAGATGCAGTGTAAGGTATATTTGTGCATCCTCCATCCCCTCTGTAAAGCCACTCTTCCTAAGAAAGCAGAACAAAAGGGCTTGGGAATTTGTCTTTTAACCTCTTCTGCCATGTGTTTTCTTGATGTGACTCACTGTTGCCATCAAATTAAATGTATCCAGGTTATCGGAGAATTAATTTATGCAGGGATTAAAACAGGCTAACTTTATGCCATTGAAAAATTATTTAGCTTGCTACTGAATCAAAACTCAGTGCTGACCTGCACAAGTGTTTTTGTTCAGGAACAAAAACAGGTCTAAAAGTCAGAAATGAGAAGACAGCTGGCAGGATGAAATGGAGAAAGAGAGAATGTCAGCTGCCCCTCCAGGGACCAGGCGTCTGAAATGAGCCCTGCCAGACAAAATAGAAGCCCCGTTGCTGAGCTCTAGCAAAATATTAGCAAAGGCCGGATGCTGTACTTCTCAGGGCTGGGTACTTAGGTAAATGTAAGAAAAGGGTGACAAGCAGGGGAGGAATGTAAATGCTGCAGCTTGGTGTTAATGCTCGTGTCCCACCAACCCCTCAGCACATCCGAGGGAAAGGGAGTGGGTCTGTGGTGGCCCCAAGGCTCGCTCCATCCATGCAGAGAGCAATCCCTGGCCTCTCCCTGGTGCCAGCCCCCTGCAAAGGGCCAGGGAGAAGAAAGTATGGCCTGAGCATTGGGAGGATGGTCAGGGTGATCTAGCACAATCTTTCCCTCAAATTACCATGTCTTCCCCTCAAAGTTCCTTGGATACCTGGCTTAGGCTTAGATAGGGTTTCCCACTGACGAGCTGTTCTCTTGGCTGATGTAGGTGGGCTTTACACTAGCTGAGGAGCTTCTTAAAACGTCCAAAATAAGAAAAAGGATTCTTATTTATCATACAGGTGTGACTGAAATCTCAAAGCCAGGTTTTTGTGTGGGGTTCACCACCTCAATGGAGAGGGAGCCACCCCAGCTTTCATCACAGCTCTTCACACCACACCTGGGCTTATGCTCAGGCTTTGTGCTGACATAATTTATTTTTTTTTACCAAGGTATGGCTTTTATTGATGTATCTGGGAGTCAAACTGTTACAGGACGCTTGGTACTGCTATCCATATGGTCTGTACTGTGTTTACCACATAGGACAGATTAACAACAGACCTGAACTTGTTTCTGCACCAGGAATTATTCACCCCACGAGCAAGTAAATCCCACCTCAACCACTTCATATAGTTATATTATTACCTCTCCTGGTCCACAGGTTATACTGGTGCATATATTTTAGACTGGGAGAGTTACTCCATTTCTGCTCAGGAGCAGCTATCCCAACAAGGATGTATTTATATCAGCACAACTGTGCCCACTCAAAAGGAGTTTTACCACTTAAATTGTAGGGACACGACTCTCCTGTGCATGCTCAGCATGAGGATGTCTTCCAGCCAACAGAAGATATCAAAGAGAATGATGTCTATTACAACACGTGCTCTGCTCCAAAAGAAAAGCACCCTGCCTGCAGCAACGCAGGAGAGTAAGCAAAAAGTAGGAAAAAAATAAATAGTGTTTTCTAATGTTAAGAAAGATTCTTCAAAGAAATTGTGTCTTTCCTCCAGTGAGGACAGCAGAGTTGTTTACTCTTTTTCTCTGTCCAACAGCAATGGGTGTGATTAAAGGCAGCCTGACTGTGGCCTGACTCGGTTGCTGATCTGCCTTCTGGCATCAGAAGCCAACCGATCTGGCTGGGTGACACCGGGCAGGGGTGTAACGGGTGTAACGGGGATATAACGGGTGAGCAGCCCCATTTCTAAGGATACCACCACTCATTAGCCTTGTGTTTGGAGGGCTGTGACCCATCTCTGCCTGTGCCTGGGGACCGAGCCCCTCTGTCCCCCGTGAGCCACCAGTCTCTTTCATCCTTCTACACTTCTGCAAGAGTTTTGCCTGCACAGGTTTTCCTTATTGCTATTTTGGGGAGATTTCAGAAGTACAATGCAGCCTTCGCCTGTTCAGCTTCCTTCTGACTGTAAAAAAGCCTCCCTGCATCACTAACCATCTAAGCATTTGCTATTAAATTATCCATCAGAGCTCCTTCTGCAGCAGAGGGAGTTGATGGTAGCGTCTTTATGGAGGATAAAAATAGCCAATGTCACATGCGACAGCAGCGGGGAAGGCTGAGGCAAGGCCAACAAAGGCAGCAAAACTTCGGCTTTGATTGCAGTTGGCATCCTCACCTGCAGACAGAAGGAATTAGTAAAAAAGGATTGAGTTTTTGTAATCGATCGAAATGTAAACGTCACCGTCTGAATTCACGCCAACGACCTTCACTTGTTAGGCACCGGATACTGCGGGTTTCTCACAGCAGCCTAAAAACTCCCAGTTGGCAGCCTAAAACCCTGCCTGTCTTTCCAGCCGGCTGCAGACAACAGCTCTGTTTGCCTTTTAAGCACCAAAACTGCTCTGAGCCAGCACACCCCGATGTCTCACGAGGCAGGACGAGCTCCCTGGGCTGCGACAGGAGGGAAGCGAGCCCCGTGTGGTTTCTGCAGCTGTTAAAGAAGTGGGGCACCCTCCCCTCCTGCTCTGCCAAGCCCCTTCCAGCTGCCCAGCTCCCAGTCCAGGCTCCCACCACCTTGTTCCGCCGAACCCATCGGCACCATCAGGGCAATGCTGCTGGTCTCCCCTCGGACCTGCTGAGAAGGGATGAATTCACTACTTTGGGCCCAGAAGAGTGCAGCCACCCAGCAGCTCCTAAATGTGAGTGATGCTACATGAGAAATGAGGATTTCACATTCAGATCCCCCCCTTTTTTTTTTAGAAGTGCCAATCAAGCGTGTGCTACTTGGGCTGGGAAAATGGTTTATGAAGAAGTTTGCCAGGATTATAAGAGCTTCATAGCTGTTCAGTGGAAAAAAAAAAATAAAAAATCAATCGGAGCACATTTCCCTGCAGGTATGCAGGTTCAGATCATTTCTGGCCCAGAATCCCAGCTTGCTTGGGGCTAGAGCTCTGCATGGCTATAGAAAGGACCCAGTTATCAGGAGCTATTCAGGAGACAGGCAGAAGAATACAGGGCAGGAATTGCACCAAAGTAAGGCAAAAGTGCAGGCTCTGGGTAATTAAGTTTATATCCTTTATCTTAAGAGGGTGCTGTGCCATAGGAGGGAGCAGACCTGGAATCACATCTCTTTTTCACTGGCATGAGGGACTGGTGGCAAAAAAAAATCAGGAATCTGAACCCTCATCCTGTGATGTAATAAGAGCTTAAAAATAGGATAGTGAATCTTTTACACTTCCCTTTTTAGGGCACTGCCAGAAACCCACATCCCTACAGACTCCTCAGTTCAGCAGAAGTACAGCAGGCTGAACAGGAGTGTATTTATCTATCTGTGATTATTTACGTGCAATATGAAGCTTTTGTTACTCAGTCAGTGGCAGAGCTGTAGCATGCCTACCTCAGAAAAGCTGCTGCTCTGCTAGTTCAGCACTGTGCTGTTGGGCAATCCTTCCCCAAAAGCAGGGTGACCCTTGCAGGATGCCTTCCAGGAGCACCTGTGCTCTGCTGGCTCAGGCAGTCTCGGAGGGCACATCACAGGTGTCCACACCCAAAAGCTGTGGGTGCTGCTGGAAACTGGGCACAGCAGCGAGTTCCCAAGAACTTGCTTGGGAAGAGCTGAGCCAAGCATGGCACAGCCTCGGCTCCTGAGGCTGTGACTCATGTGAGAAGAGCTCAGTGGCCCTCCGTGGGTGTGAAGGAACAAGGCTGGCCACACGCAGACATCTGTGCTCTCAGGCAGGGCCCAAACAGAGAAGATCTGCAGAGATCTCCCATCTGCTGCGATCTCCCATCCCTCCGACAGCCCAGATATTTTCAGGGCGACTGCTAAATGCAGCAGACCACGCGGCACAGGGGGCGAGCGGCCACAGCTCAGCTGAATTTGGTGTGCAGGAGCTGTGGGAATCTGCCTTCCCCTTTTTTGCGACTCACCACAAATTACATATTCAGCCCGAGCAAAGTTCCTCTGCTGATGGAGACACCAAGGCACAGAGGAGAAAATGCAAACACTCTGAAACGATCCTGTTTTGCTAAAAGTTACATCTGCAACTTATAAAGCAAATGCCATGGTAAATAGCTATCAGTAAGGCTGAATCATCTCCCATCCTCTGCACATTTTCACTTTGACATTTGTTGTCCTTTTTCTTCTGTTTAATGAGTGAGTGAAATACATTCGAAACTTGTGTTAGTGCATCCTAGCGGCCAAAAAAATATTTTAAAGGGAAAAAACACCTAGAATGGCTTAAAGATTCTCAGTGCAAAGAGTATGCAGAGTGATGATACCCTCAATTAAATGCTATTGTGCATTTTATTCTGGTTTATAGCAAATTAAAAATAATCTATCTGAAGATCAAAGCTTTTTATACCTAATTTGCTCTCTGCCTTTCATTCGCATCAGCTATACTAAGCATTAATACTCTGAGCTTTACTTAGGTACACTTAGCTTTGTTACTTCAGGTTTACATATTTTGTATATGAGATATGCATTGAGACATGGACTGAGATATTTATCTCAGTTTTAACATACCTTATGCAGGAGAAAACTGAACTTTAATGACACCTGTAAAAGTGATAGTGAGCATTTCATACTGATGAGTTTTACAAAGATAGCAATGTGATGGCTGGTTTCTGTGTTACCAATACTCCATTCACCCTTTTTCCAGTCCACTTCCAGTACCAGGAAAAACGTGTCTTTCCCAATAACCTCCATTTGGGTGCCAAGATCACCAAGGCAAATAGCAAATGCAAAGAGCTCCAACCACTGGTAAGGCAAACCAACCACTGTCTGTGTTTCTGTGTTGACAGCACAGCTTTTTTCCTTTTTTTCCTCTCCAAATGGGAACTGATTGTTGCAGGGACAAATTTACTGCTGATACAAGCTAGTGACTCTTCATTGATTTGCAGAAGTTGCACTAGAACATGGCAGGACTAAATCAGACCTAAAACCTGCCTGATGTTTGACAAATTAGATAAAGCCTTCGAGGAAAAAAAGCTAGTCCACTCAAAACTGATTTCAAAACCAGCACTAACAGTATGCAGCAACGCGCCATAAATCACCTGGAAAATCCAAACAGCCAGCTGAGCTTCCTGCAAACAGACAGCAAAAGCAAAACAGAGAAACCTGCTTGTTTATCAGCATGGAGAGCTGCACCCCGGAGAGCTGCGTGGGCAGCGCAGGCAGAGCACACCCACACCGTGCAGCACCTGGGGCTGGGGCAGCAGAGCTGGCTTCCAGCAACGGCTTGTTCTGCTGTGCCACAAGGCATGGGCTCGTACTCTCAGCTTCATGTGAGTCCTTGGGAGATCAGTGGGGATCCTTGTCAAAGGCCACGGAGTGTGTTGGAAATATGAAAAACTTGCTCTGCTTATTACCCGGTGACAGCAGGAGCTCACCTATGAGAGACACTAATTTGCTTTCCCAAACACCACGAGGTGAGGATCAGAAATGTCACCGAGAGTTGCACAGATGCTGAATTAGGGGATTAATGCCACCTACTGAAGTACCTATTCCAGCGGGTAATGCAAATGCATGGGCTGAGCTAATTGCCACGCAGCCCTGGTGCACCCAGCATGTGAGAGCGAGTGAGATACTGGAACAGAGACAGCACCACGTTGGGCAGGGATGCTTGTGGGAGAGAAATATGTTCCCTGTGACAACTGTCCTCCAGCAAGCGTGACAGCTGGAAAATCAGATACATCCACTAAAGGGAAACAGAGCTTAACAGGAGCAGGGGGGGAGGAGGGATGGGGCAAGGCTTGGTCTGAGTCAGCTCTTGCTACTTTTAAAGTGCAGTTTTAAACAAGTGGTGGATGCAAATGTTAATTAAGAGAGTGTACAGCTGATAGCTGCTTGGCCTGCTACCTTTCTGTTCAAGAAGCAGAAAATGAGCCCAGACAGTTATAGCCCGGGGGGAGTCCTTCAAGTCGTTCCCTACACTGCTCCAGCCACAACCAGCATCCTGCTGCCTGACATGCCAGAGGGACCTCAAACTCCTCCTGACACATCCACGTCTTGCCTGAAGCTCCTGTGGCTGCCACATCTTGTGCTCCCTGTCACACCTCGGGCCCTCTTCTCGCAGAGGAACCCCAGCTGGTAATGAGGTGCAGGGTTTGCCAACAGCGCTACCTGAAGCAAAACATTTCCCATGAGCAATTTCATGAGCAATTTCATTCCTTATTCTCAGGCTGCCCTTTTGTTTCAAAGGGGAAGAAGAAAGTGTTTACTTCCCTTCCCAGGGAAATGCAGTAGTCCAGTCTCACATCACCGAATAGGAGAGTCTAATAATAGTTCCACTGACAGAGGCACTCTGCTCTTTGCAGAGATGCTCTACACCTATTTATTTTCTTGGTGCCGGAGGCATCACACTTTTCCAACGATATCAGTGCCAGCAACATGTTTATCCTAAGGGCTTGTGGTGCTCTACATAATTCTTCATAATTCACAGGTATGAAATCTGACCTTGTGGCCTCCTAACATTTCCAGCCAACGTGGAATCAATAAAGCACCCTGAATCACTGGCCAGCTTAAAAAATGAACCCAGCTGCAAACACCTTTGTAACCGCGACAGAAGAGTGCTGATATTAAACAGCCAGAAGTGTCAATTGTCCCCAGCCTGGTCCCTCACTCGGTTCTTCGGGGTATTTCAGAGCGATTCCTTTCCATCATGTCACTTAAGCAGCAAAGGGGAATCTTTTATAAGCTGAGAAAGGGCTGTGGCAGCAGCTGACGTGATTTATGTTTAATAAAGGCCCTTTAGCGCCAGGAAAGAGGGGCCCTGCCAAATCTCAGGCGTCTCGTGAGCCACTGCTATTGTCCCTGGGTCAGGAGCACTTTTTAGGTCCCATCTCCATCTATGTGAACAAAGGGACAGCTGTATGCTTGGCTGGCTCCGGACGTGGCTCTTTGTGTGCGATTAGTACCCTGCGCACATCATTCATAGCTCTTGAATAAAGATGACCTCTCGCAGGACAGAATGGGGGAAAAAAGGCCCCTTTATTCAGCAGCGCTCGAATTAGCATAGAGACAACAAAACCGTTCCTTGGAAGTCACAGGAAGAGCTGGATAAACAAATAAGCAAACTACAGGTTTCCTGCAAACACTCCGTGTTCAAGAGTTGGGCCCGGAAACCAAAAAGCAAGCGAGGTTGTCCCCAGTGCACATGCCACCCTTCACACCCTCTTGAGCTCCCTACGGCCAAGCCACCCCTGTGCAGCTGGGAAAACGCTTTGTCACACAGGCTGTGGCCCGAAAAAGGGAGAAACAAAGCATGCAGCATGTCAGAAGTGAGCTAATTTCCATCACCTGAGACTTGCACCTCTCTCAGCCAGGCAGCACGATGGCCAGCGGCTCCTGCACTGCCAATTCTGGCCGTGGGTTTGCTTTTCTTTTCCGGGCCCTGCGTGCACGCTGGTGGGTCAGGCAGCCAGCTATGCAAGCAGACAATGACACACTGGATTTTTTCACATGCTGGGTTTCCTGGCTGATGAAAGGCAGCTCAGCAGCTTATCACCATGTATGCCACCGCAATTAAGCACCCTGGGAGCAGCAGCAAACCCAGCCCGCCTCCCCCCGCCCAAGCTCCTCCACCTCCCATCCCTCCCCCATGCCATAGGAACAGCCTGTGTCTCACCACCCACAACACCAGCACAATTGCAACCCTTATCCGCAGTGCTGAGCTCCAGAATGTGCTCTGACCTAGCAGCCAGGGGCACGGCAACATGCACCAGGGTGTCCTCCAGACCCAGCCTTCACATCAGATTAGTTTTCAGCCGAAGTCCTGCTGTGTCAACAGCAAGGGCCCTTAGAAACACGAGTTTCTCTCCTGGAAGGCTTAGCAACAGCAGAGTTAGCTTGGGATGAAAATTAACTAAAGGCAGCAGACATGGAATGAAGCAGGTTTTATAATTAAATTCCAAAATCATATTTAATACAGAGTTGCTGCCTTCCTTGTTTTTATCAAAGCTAACACTGGCTGCTGGCTTTCTGCAGGTCTCAGCTCCTGAAGCCTCCTGAAAACCATGACAGTTCCTTCCCCCCCTTTTTTTCCCCTTTTACATGCTCCTTTTTTTGCTGAAATAAAGCCTGAAATGTGTCTGTGGCTGTAGTCTGAGCCTACAAATGGAGTAGAACAACAAATAAATAAAAATAAAAGGTATTATCTTATGACTTCTGATTTTTAAATCAGTCTCATTGCTTCTAAACCTTTGCAGCTGGCAGTACAATTAGCAAGTCAGACTTTTCAATGTCACTCATGTATGCTATAAAAATTTCATGAAGTACAGCAGAAAAATGCATTAAAACACAAAACAGGGCTAATTGCTGAGCTGGCATCTGGATCATCCAGTTGCTTGGATTACTTTGCAGTGGAGATTAACCCAGGACAATTTGTTCCAGTACAAAATGATGTACAAAAGTGGTCAATACTGCGCATATTCTTAAAAGAAGAAAGCTGAGAGGCCTGAGGTCTTGTCCTTGTGGTGTGGCTTGTCACTGAAAACTGGGGAGTAGGACACGGCCATGTAAACAAGCCCATGGATGTGTGCCCACAGGTAAGGACGTGACATGTTGAACACTTCTGACAGTGGGTGGCCAAGGCATATTCCCTGAATAAGGGCATTCCCTGTTGTGCATTAATCTTTGAGCTTCAAGTGACAGGAAAAAAAAAAAAAAGCCATTCAAAAGTTATTTTCATGAAAGCCGTTTGCATGTTCCTCCCACTCTTGCCTTCTTCCATCTCCCTTTCTTGCACTTCACAAACATCTTTTTTGTTTCTGTTCATCTCTGATGGGAAAAGAACACCCTGAGTTTAATAGAAGGAGGCTAAATTTAACATTTCCAACTGGTATCTCGTGTATGTGATAACTGCTGGCCTGCACAGTTAATAAATAGCCCTGTTGGATTTGCAAGAAATCAACCAATGAGCTCATAAAGGACTGAAATACAATAAAAATCCATGAATGGGGCTGTAAAAAAGCTCACGGAGCTCTCTAAAATGAGAAGCAGCAAAACTGAATGAAGGGTCATCTGAGGAGTGGAGCTAGTGGGAAAAGACTATCAAAAGCACTAGTTAAGAACGTTGTTAATACACGGGAGCTCCTGCATCCTTAGAGGTGCTCTGCCTCTCCGCTTCATTATGGAAATGCTTCCCTCAGGCCCCATCTGTCTGTTTTCTGCTGTAGATGGAGTTGACCCAAAGGGAATTCATTACCACGCATCTCCAATGGCAAACCAAGCCTCGCTGCAAATCAGACTGCGCTGCCTGGAGAGGTTCTGACGAACGCGCTGCAGACAGGGCTCCACCATCAAAAGGATCCTCATGGGACAGTTTTTGCTTCCTTCCCATGCAGCTGGGCATCCTGGCAGTCAGTGGGAGCTTTGGGAGCATGATATTACTCATGTGGGGTTTTTTCTGGAAGCATGTTCCAACAGGGCAGAAATTGCAGAGTATGCTTGGATCAGGCAGTGTCCCAGAGGGAGGCTGGAGGGGAGAGCTGTGGGTGTCTCCACCAGAGAAATCAGGCAGAATGCTGCAGGTCTCAAATAAGGGAATATATATATTTCTGTTCCATCTTCCAGCACTTTTCTATAAGCATTCATGGATTAATCATCCAGCTCAGTTGGCATTAGGAAGGCTTTGCTACTCCTTGTTAGTAGAAAAAAAGCATGGCAGAAAACTTGAAGTCTTTAAGGGCCAACAAGAAGTCACAGACAGACCTCCTGCCTACTTTCCAGCATTCATAACAAACAAAAAGGGGAGTTAGGCTCAGCCAGCTTGAAGGAGGATGGTAAAATATGTAGAGACAGATTTAGCAGTAAAAGAAAATCCCCAAGTGAGAAGAGGAATGAGGCCCCACCTACATGTAAAACCAGTGCCCACCTGACCATCAGATTGCAAACGCACGGCACCTTTTAAGTACATAAGCAAATTAGATAAAATGAATAATCTCAGGGCTTATATGTGTCATAGATCTGGGAGATGAGAGGCGGCTGGGAGCTGCATGCGAAGCTTTGATTTTACGATGGAGGATTAGTGCAGCGCCAGGATTATCTGGCAAGCCCCATCCCAGGTACAGTTGAGTTGGGTCAAGCAAGCGGTTGAAGTTTGCTTCTTGCCAGAAGACTCAGTCACATAAAAACTGTACTGTTACACGCCCAGATGAGTCAGGCTCCTAGCATCGTAAACTTTATTCCACAATGAAAATGTGAGCCTCTACAACAAAGAGGCCCTCACACCCGTTACAAGAGAATTTTTGAGGGTATATCGTGCTGCAGTTGTCCTAGGGGCCCAGCAGCTCATTGGCATCTTGGCACTAGTCCTCAGTTCTCCATCTGGGATGACTGGACCTAGGGAAAGGAGCCACTCAACGTTTTAACATTTCTGGGATAATTTTCCCCATGGTTCCTCTGCTGTTTTCTGTTTTGAGAGCACAAGGGCCTGGCGGAGGAGACATGGCACATGAGTTGCCAGCAGTATTCCCAGCAGAGGATGAGCTCAGTGCCTTCTCCATCAGGATGTCAGGCAATGGGGTTTGGGAGAGGTTTGGGAAGGGCTCCGAGGCAGGCCTGCTCCCAGCTGTGACACACCACATCCTGGCGGGGGCTGCCCAAGGGAGGAGGAACAAACGATGCCCAGCTGTGAGCCGCTATGGCAGGCCCCATTCTGAACCAGTGAGGGGATGTAGCCCAGCCCCAAGCCCCAGGGGAGATGGATTTAATATATCTGTTGGTCTCCGGGATGGCATTCACCAGGAGACTGTAGTCCTCCCATGTCAGGCTCCACAGAGGCCTCCAAAACTCCCCAGGGAGAGGGCAGATTTGGCACCTCCAGAGGGCTCCTGTCCCTGCACTAAATTGCTGTTATTCACTAATTATCTTCCAGCATTCACATCATTCACCTAAGGAAATTAATGTACTCTGAGCTACAGGAAGCCTGGGAATGCTTGAACACAGGCTTCATCCAGCCTGCTGTCCCTTAACATTGCCAAACCTGAGCTTCAGCCTTTAAGAAGGTGCATCACTGTTTGTGGCAGTCTCGTGCCTTATTCCCTGACTGAAGACTTGCTTGTGCCTTGGCTGTGCTGCACCAGGCGCGTTTCCTCCACAGGAGCTTTTTCAATATACCTGTAAAGATGAATTGCTGGTCTTGTGTTTTTACACAGCATGGTATGTGTTCCTTGGGGGCAGGTGCAGCAGCTACTGGGGGTAGGAAGGAAAGCAGCAGCATACCGGGGAACAGGGCACGTGGACAGGCAGCCTGATGATTGGGGATTTCAAGGGATTATAAGCCTCGAGGCAGCAGGAAGGCTGTGGTTCTTTGCCCATCTCCTGCTGGTGCCATGTGGACCCTCTGCAGACACTCGACTTCCTAACCTGCTTCTTAAAAGACTTTGCCTCTCCATGGGGCTGCAGACTCAGTTTGTTTCACAGCACAAGCCATGCAAATAGCCACTGCAGAAGCTTGTATTTTCGAGTGAGTGGGCATTTGTGTGTCACTGGGTGGAGAGAAATGTCTCCAGGAGGCCACAGGTCTTCTGCACTGCGGCACATCCAGCACAGAAACAGACAGACCCGCACACCCAAACCCTGCTTGTTGGAGAATGAACTGTCCTCTGAGCAGGATCTACCACCTCCACAAAACAGAGCTGGTTTGGGTTTCAGCACAGGCTTTAAATGCTCTCCCAGCTATCCCCGTGGTGCTCACAGACCTTCCTGCAGTGCTGAAGCTTCAGGCCTGCGCAGGGGGATTTTGGCTCAGTGCCGTGCAGCTCGTGCCCCCAGCCACCAGCCGGGAGGCTCAGTGGGGACTGTCTGCAGAGCACCCTCATGAAGCCTGTGAGAAGGCTGCCCTTTAAAAGACAGAAAAAGCCACAAAGCATCCCCTGTGCATCCGTGCCATTAAAAAAGCAACAAATTCCAGTCACTGCTGTAATATGGTAAATTCCCACCGTGTTTACAAACATTCGCAGGCATAGCATGGTAAAACAAATGCCACCAGTCCTCAAGCAAAATGCATGATTTTTTTTTTTATTTTTTTTTCCTCACACACACAAATATTTCTTCTGTTCTTGTCTCTGCAAACTGCTGAGGGAAGGCAGTAGAGCAGCCTCACCAACCAGCGTGGCCCAGCTGGGAAGTCAGGGCTGTCTGCGGCTCCTCGAGTGCCGTGCAAGCGCAGAGATAACCCAAGTGGTCAGGCTGGGACCCTGCCTGCTTCCCACAGTGACAAATTATCCTGTAAACACTCATTTTGCACAGGCTGTTGTGTTTCTGAATGGGAGGAAGGCTATATTTGTGCTAAAACCCAATGGGGCATTTATTATTATTATTATTATTATTATTATTATTATTATTATTATTATTATTATTATTATCATCATCATCATCATCATCATCATCATCTAAGAAATAATAAGGTAGAGTTTATAGTTCCTCCCTTTGCTGTGATGGACAGTAGTGGTGGATGCATGAGGGAAATCTCCCTTCCCCTCCTTCACCACCTCTGCTGCTGCCCTGGGTGACGCTGTCAGAAACCACCAGCTGCATGAAATGCAGATAAACGCAAAAGTGGCTTCCTTCCAGCCCATGGCATTAGTAGAGGGTTTTCTCCATGAGCAGATGGGGTAGGGATATAAATGCACTCACAGCTCAGGAGAATCTGCTGCATCACCTCTGCTGCCAGCCTCTGCCAGCCCCTGCTTTAGGGAGCTCATTTCTCCCAGGCCCTGCCAGAGCAGGGCTCACAGGAGGATGCGGCTGCAGAGAGTGAAGGTCAGCTGTAGGGAGGCCTGGTGCCCTCTCAGGGATGCTGAGGGCTCCTGGGCCCCTGTCTGAGCCGTATTTGCTCATATTTACTGACCAGCACAGCCTCAGCACGTGGAGGAGATGAGGTGCTGCAGACCTGGGCTGACATTTGGTTCAGCCC